TACACTAGCTGCCATACCTGTAATCTGCTAGAAGATTACCTATTTAAACACTCTGATCCTAATACTACACCAGGCAAATAACAACCTGGTTCTCATACAACTAAGTGCTGTCTAACCCAACATTTTGCCTCCCTTCTTCTAAATCTGTCAGGCCATTACACATTTCAGAGTATGTCACCACACCTCATATTTTTCTTATTTTAATAAAATATATTTTCATGAAATAGACAAGCTATAGTATTGAATCTCACAAGATGCCTTATTATGCTGAAATTTTTATTACTAATAAGGAATTTTTACAGCTTACTACAAACGAATTTTAGGACTTTATGTATTCAAAAGTTTTTTTTTTTTTTTTTTTACTTTTGCTACTTTATGAAATATCCTGATCTTATTTACAAACTCTGTTGTTTAAATTAAATAATGCTAAGATGTTTTATATAAGATTAAATAATACCTGAATGTTTTATATGATATTAATATATTTAAATAATCTAAACCTAATAAAAAGCCTGAAGAAGGTATAAGATCTTCAAACAAAACTGAATTTTGGTAAAAAATAGAATATGATTTATGCTTAGATACTGCTATATGAAGAACTATGATCTATATAAAAAATAATTTATTAATATTGATTATTATAAGAGTATATATTAGGCTAATATATGCAAGCAATATTTAGATTTTAGTCTAGATATATATTTAGAAGATACTTTATATAGCAGTATAGTTTTAATTTATTTTATTTACTTATTTGATTTGAAAGCTCATTACTTATTTAGTTTTTATATACATTTAGCAGATTATCGAATAGATATACTTCTTGCAAGTTCTTTTAATTATGTAAGTAGGATTAAAATCAAATTGATAAAATTTTATTATTATATATATATATATATATATATTTTACTTTAAGTAAAAATGAATATGACACCGGAGGATATTGATATCCACCCCCTAATTTTATTATAAAAAATAGTTTTTTGCTAAAATTTAGGGTTAGAGTGCAGTTTAATGCCAAAATAGGGATCAAATATAATAGTCCAAATTTTAAATTACACAAGGTTTTTGGGGTTCTGGACATTTTTACTTAGTACACTAGACCCTGTTTCTTAGTTGGTTTTTTGGCTTTGCTATGACTGATTTTTAGTTTATATTAAGGCAAGTATCTTTATGTTTATTATTTAAGTGAACTTTATTAATTAAGAGTGAGACTAGTACTACTGGTAATTCAAAAAACTCACTAACTATTACAATCGCTTTGCCCATATATATATACTTTGGGTCACATTACTTACATCATAATTCGTTCATATATGATTATATGATCATTTAACCTTATATTAATAATAAATTACCTTATATTTCATGCATACTGATTATCTTACTTTGATTGCATAATTGATTGTTATTTGATCCCTTAATCTTGATCGATCACTTACTCATCACATGCATCATGTACACAAGATAATGATCGATCATTCATTTTACCTTTATTTCTATACAAGTTCATCACATACTGTATATCACCACGACACAAGCTAGAGCTCCAGGAACTTTGTCTCTAAAGTTTCTAGCATAAATAGTACCTACTTTCTAACAAAATCTGCGAAACTAATCCCAAATTCATATAGTTTTTCCCAAGTTCTTTAGCAAGACTCTTTCACAATCAAATATCTTCTAATTCGGATTTCAAGTAAGTGTTCACCTTTTCTCTGCTCTTTCTTTTTCTTTGAGCTTTTTTCATTATTCTTAATCATTTTATTAATCTTTATTTTTTCCTTACTATCTACATAATTATTCTTTCCGTGTTTTATTTTTCTATCATTAACGTCATCAATTTCTACTTTTATCTGCTTACTTTTCTTTCCATTATACTCCATCATATCCATCTTATTCTTAACATGCATA